TGCAGAGATAAAAACAATGATAAGCGTCGTGGCAGAAACACTGAACTGGCCCAGTGCTGTTAGACTGTATTAGATCGCCACTCAGCCAATCAAGTTCAAGTATCACTGAGATCATGAAATCATAACACTGAACATTCTGAATATTCCGCTCCAGATGTTTTATGGTGGTTAGATAGTAGATATCTATATTTATATATCCTGTTGATTATATTCAGATTTCATGCATATTCACACGTTTGTTTTACAGACTGAAGAAGAATACCAGGGAATGATGGAAAGTGAAGAGATCAAACAAATGAAGAAATTACAGATTGAGTTCAGACAAACTCTGGAGAATGAATTGCTAAACACCATGAAAGATATCGCACAGAGCCGTGATGTACGATTACAGATTGTTCTTTTACATGTATAATAATAATACTAATAATAATTCCTTCTTTTTTTTTGGAAAACAGGTTGATACGCAAAAGCCAGTGGGTTCAGAAGATTTCACTTCAAGCACAAAACAAAGAATTCAAGAACATTCTTTAAAATGCAATTGCATGATGGACAAACTTCAGTGTCCTCACAGGGGTTTTCACCAATCAAACCACAGTCTTATTGTGTTGAGATGAATCTTGATTTTCAGCCCTAGATGTAAGAGGTTGAACACAACACTTAATTAGATAATATTCCTCAATGTCTGCTAAAGTGTATTGATATGGAACAGTACACACTTCTTCCTTTAGCTGAAGTGATCTGATCAGAGCAGCTACATCAGGTGCTGCAGCAAAACCACATTATCCAACAAACAATAACTTTCTGACATTTCTGCTTAACTTTGTGCACATTGCCTGTGAATACTTTAAAGTGGGACACACTTCTTTCAGTAAAAAAGAAAACACGTGATGATAAATGAGAGGCATGTCATGCTGAACTTGGGTAAGTGAAATACAATTATGTAAATTGTGTAATCAGATTCTTTTTTTGTTTTGTTTTATGCAGCCATGAGACAGTCTAATTTACCAACAGTGCATTGGAAAACTGAAAAGCTTTTCCAAATAAGGACAAAAAGGCACCTACCGAATCAGACGTTGTACATGTTTTTCTTCTTCTTTATTTTAGATCTCCTTGTAGTTTTTCTTGGTGACAGGTTTTTTGAGCAGCGAAATAATGGGACTTGGAACGAAAGTTTTTTCACTTTGTGAGCAGACCAGCAGAAGAGGTACATGAAGGTTAATTAAATGGCAAAAAAAACACAGACTCATCAAAACAAGGATGAAATGCAGACTGTGTTAAAAAAAAAAAAAGAAATTCCAGAGGACACAAACCAATGAGGATACCAATGGTAAATGTAGAATAAAAGTTTATTCTAAAAAAAACTACAATTTATCATGCTAACTGGTAAATGTTTATGATATTAACTTTCTAATGTAAATGATGGATGTTTACGGCGATTTTAGGGAATGTCAAAGACGAACCCACAGTCAGAAAGTAACAAAGACATGCAGGGCGGGCTCAATTTTTGAGAAAAGCAAGGTCACCTTACAAAACTGGATGAAGTTCATATACCGGTAGGCAACGTTAATATATATACACAGTGTATATATATATATATATATTCGGTAACACGTCTACATCAGACACGACAAGGCGACTGATGCAGATCTAATGGAAGAAGGGTGGGATGACATTTTATAACAGTCATATTATGATATTAAGAAATATATAATGTCATTTATTTATTTACTTTCTTGAATTTGTATAATTGCCAATGTAGTATTTATGGACATATATAATACCACAGAACAAGGACATACTATTTCACATCTGAATTCCATAAGCTGAAAAACTTTAATGGTAACGATTAGGCCTAAGTGTTACTAGGTGGAAAAGAAAAGAGGGCAATATATATATATATATATAGAGAGAGAGAGAGAGAGAGAACCAAAAAATGTACAGTGTGAATAACTACTAATAGCAAAAATGTAAAAATAAATAAATACAATTAACACTTAATTGTGAAGTTGTTCTCCCATCCTTTTGTTTATAACTAGAAGTCTTTTAACCCAATCCCCTTGTTCCCACCCTGTCCTTTAAAATAAACAGTGACAGAAGAATTCTACACTTACGTGGTTGTCATGCTTCAAACTGTGTTTTCAAGACTGAAGACTTCTTAATGTTGTACTACATTGTTAAAAATAATAATAATTTAAAAAAAAAATCAAACAATCAAATGTTGATTTATTAGATCAACATTAGAATTAGAATATTTTTAGAGACAAGGAATAAAGGTATTATTGTGTAGGCTACATATTTTGTGTGCTCAGAAAAAAAAAAAGACTAACAAATGGTATTTAGATTTTAATGACTAGATAACTTTTATGTAAATTTTTTTTGTGTGTGTGAATCATAGTCATGCTTCAAACTGTGTTTTCAAGACTGAAGACTTCTTAATGTTGTACTACATTGTTAAAAATAATAATAATTTTTAAAAAAAATCAAACAATCAAATGTTGATTTATTAGATCAACATTAGAATTAGAATATTTTTAGAGACAAGGAATAAAGGTATTATTGTGTAGGCTACATATTTTGTGTGCTCGGGAAAAAAAAAAGACTAACAAATGGTATTTAGATTTTAATGACTAGATAACTTTTATGTACATTTTTTTTGTGTGTGTGAATCATACCTGGTTCAGGCCGGGTGTTGTGGAAGTTGTCCTAGATTGCAATAATAATTATAAAAATTGACAATAACATATTTTGAAAATATAAATTAATCTTATTTTAACCCTATTGCTATGTGTTTTTGTCTGTTACTTTTTAGTTTTTACCTTTTTATTATTTTTAGGACCACATTTCAGTTATTTCACTACAAAATCATTGTGCTTCCTTTATGTAACTTACACAAAGTTCAGTAACAATGTTACATTTGACATGAAGAAAGTTGAAGTAAATGTACTCAGTGCAGTTTTAACTTGAAATCCAACTTAAACTTTAAATTGCATATGCAATACGGTTTCTATAGCAACTATTCAAAAATGACATAATTCTAATGTACATAACTAAATGCTTAGAGTTGCAAAGGACTGTAAATAATTTGAAATAAACATACAAACCTGGCAGAGAAGTGGAGAATGTGGACAGTGGATGAGGCACAGTGGCCTGGACACAGTCCTGCAATAACAGAATACAATGAAAAAATGAAAGAAAGAAAAAATAATAACAATAACACACATACTGTACGCTTCTTTTACATACGTCACTTTGATATCTTATTCTGCAGTTGCACTGGAGTCAGTGTATCAGTATATAATTTGTATTTATTTTTCATTGGGAAACTACAATTGAAACTACCACTGCTCGAGTACTTAAATGTCCAACTCTTCTCTTTCAGCAAAGATCATTCAAAACCGGTTCTGCCTGACGGACTGGCCACAAGGAACAATGTGAACACTGTTTTCTCTTTCTCTTTTTTAATTACAAGTTGCCTAACATTTACTTTTCCAGAATCTCCATACTATGTCAGTATTTCTGAATGAATTAGGTTTTTATAGAAGAATACATAAAAAAAGCAGAAACAAAAACAAAGAATGTTTTGTCGGGTATCCTAAAATGTGTTTTATGTGGCAACATTAAATCCGTTAATTAAATAACTCTTTGTATTCAAGACAAAAATAATATTTAGTATGACTAACTCAACCTGACTCCATTACACCAACAACGTTTACATGTTTAAGGGTTAGATCAGGAATAGCACCCTAAAGTAGAAACTATACACTGCTCAAAGAAAGAAAAAATAATTATGTGTTTGGTTCGCTTTTCTATAGAGTAGACAAAATATGCAGGATCTATTGAAAAATGTAAAAACTTACCCAACTTTTCTCACTGGACTATTTTGGGGTTGTTAGCTGTATACACTACAAAATCTACAGGAAGTTACAAGAAAAGAAAAAAAAGTACCTCAGAGGTGTGGTTGTGCGCATGTGTTGGTATTTTTCCATCCAGAGACATGCAAAATTACACTGACGTCACCTGTTGCTCAAGATCCACATATCTGAACAGTACAGGAAGAATTCTCTACACTCACAATAATGTGTGGTTATATCTTACTTGACATTAAACATTTTCCAACCAAAAGTCACTATGTTTAAAGACATCAACTGAAAATTAATAACTGGTTTCTATTTGATGTTTTGTTAATGTCAGATTTCAAGAATGCTCTGCAGAACATGCCATGAACACCTGACTGAATAATTGAGCTTTTAATTGATATAATAATAGTAATAATTGAGCTGTTTATTTGTTTGTTTACATTCATATTGTTGTCTAGTCAAGTGTATCCTTAGTCTTTTTTCCATAATGTTGGGGGTAGATGTCACACGAGGAAGTTGTCACATAAGTCAGTGACTATAAGGTTTTGAGTCAAAACATGTTTTCCTTTGTATCGTCTAAAAAATGCTGGTCACATGTTATGTATTTATTTAAATATTGGCCAAAATAATAGTTTGATATTTGCAGATTATATTAGAGCTGTTGACTCACAGGGACAGGTGTGAATCTCGCTTTCTCTCACCTTACCTGTTAAACTACAAAAAATAAAGGCAAAAGACTCTTGTATAAATGAAAGAGAATACTCTCTTTTGTTTGCAGTAACATTTTATTTTCACAATTACACAATAGATCTTAGAATATTATTAGCTAGGCTGCAGCGATCTGTATTTGTATCTGTAACAATCACAAAATTACTTGTATCTGTATAAAACCGGAAGTAGGTGGAGCTTGAACCAGAACTTCGTACAGTTATATTTGATAAGACCGTTATGTTTATGGTTTTACGGCCTATCTTTTTTCATAGTTATCATTGAACAAATATGCCATTTTATTAAAATAATTACTTTTTTTATGATTATAACATTTATTTAAATAACTTCTAACAGTCGGAGCCGATATCCTTGTTTAGGCAGTGCTTCGAGATGCAGTGCGGTTGTGCTTCGAGCAACGTGAGTTCGAGTCCCAGCTTGGGGACCTTTCATGAGCCGATAAATAAATATTTAAGTAGTTAAATTAAAACAGTATGGGTTCCTACGCAGTTTAGAAATATGGACATTGATTTAAGTAATTTCCAGGAAATTCATGGGAAAAGGCAACTGCAACACTGTTAATTTATTTAGGCTTATTTCATTCATAAACTCATTTAGCTACTTCACACACTTGTTACTGCGTTGTAATATTAGAGGTTTATGTAAAACAACATGTTTCCTTTGGCTCACCGGTTTCTGCGCAGTTTAAAAAAAGTATTTCACTTAAGTAATTTGCAGGTCTGGAAACCATACGGGGAAAAAAAGAGAACAGAGTATGGGAAAATATTTGTGTTTCGACTATTTGCCCTATTTGGTCTTCTAGTGCCAACATCTTTATGAGTTTAACAACTTTTTCATTTCAAAGTCTGTGAAAACGAAACTGTTTAACCTTTTAACTGTAAGTCCCACTTTTTGAGTATAGACATGAAAATGACTTTTCCAGCTAAAATTGTTAGAAATCTTGATTACTTCGGAGCACAGACTTAAGTTTGGTATCTTTTTAAAAGTGAAACATCACAGATTATTGTAGAAGTAAAAAATAGTTATAAAAGTACATTTATAAAAAGTTATATGTTTAAATTTATGAAAATGTAAAATAATAATAATATATATATTACAAAACATATTTACCTCCAAATCTTCAAGAAAATCAAAGCCAAACATCTGAACAATTTTTATTTTCCCAAATTTTAGGTTTATATCTCAGAAATTAACTTTTAAGTAAGATTTTGTGTGCGCAGTACCACATTCTTCCACTAGTTGATATCCAGAGACTCTTGATTTACATTTATTGTTTGAGTGATCTGAAACATATATATATACATCATTTTCTAAATATTTGTGAAGTAGGCATCCTATTCAGGAATAGTTTCGGCAGTAACTTTAATATTTGATTCGAATTCAATCCCTAAACCACATAAAAACATATGTATAGAACAAGAGTGTGTTTGGCACCACATCAGAAATGGAGAACCTATCGCTATTTATCTATTGCTCTGTCATTACTTTGAAAAACAAGGATTGATTGAGTTAAAAACTAGAGTCTGAAACCTTTCAAATGATATATAGTTTGTCAGTTTTACTGTAGGTTTAGAGCAGGGGTTCTCAACCCTGGTCCTGGAGGGCCACTGTCCTGCAGAGTTTTGCTCCATCCTTGATCAATCTCACCTGCCTGTAGCTTACTAATAATCCTGAACAGCTTAATTAGCTGGTTCAGGTGTGTTTGATTAGGGTTGGAGCTAACATTTGTAGGACAGTGGCCTTCGAGGACCAGGGTTGAGAACCCCTGGTTTAGACCAAGATATTATCGTTAAAAAATATGTAATCGCAAAACATCCCACAGGTGTGGGGGAGGGGCAGTCAAAAGTAGTGTTTAAGAAAAATTTTATAAATCATAAATTCAGATTTATGAGATTTATGTAATGTAATGTGTGAAAAGTATTGATATTAAACGTTAATTGATTGTACTTGATTGTGTTGTTTTTTTTGTTTTTTTTTCATATTGTGGATTCAATGTAATTTAATTTTTGTGGAATTACATTGAATCCAATACGGGTCAGTTTGACCCGGAAGATGCAGAAAGTAACCTGTCTTTGAACAGTCAGTGAGGGTTAATGACACGGATAGCTGCAGGTTTATTAGGCTGCTGTCACTTTAAGAGCTAATGCGTGGATCCAATATACTGACACATCAGATTTTCTCCAATAAATCGCTTCACCTCAAATATCTTGTTTTCATAATCCATGGGAGCCAAACTCAAAATCGAAAATGAAACTAGATCAATTGCACAGCCCTAAAGTACAAGAGAGATTTCGCTTCTGGATTGTGAATAACAAAAATGCATCATAGACAAATGTATTGATATGATCACTTATAGAAGCCGTTTGCAAAATACAGTTCGCTTAATTAGTTCTTAAAAGTGTTACAGCCTCTTCTTCAGATTCCTGAACAAGAACGGTTTGTAAAAAGCTTCTACTTTCCTTCATGAAAGAGTAAGAAAACTACAGGTGATACATATGCATTATAAGACAATTTAACTTAATATGAAACACAATGATATAATTTATATCATGAAGCAAAATGATACACAAGAATAAAACTTTCTGACATTGTTCTCTGGGGAGGAACTCCATCTTTGAGTTGATCTGAATCTCACAGTTGAATCTGCTGGTTTTGAAGATGAAGATGAACTTTATTCACTGTGAAACTTTAGATAATGTTTCTTTGTCATATCGCTTGTAATGTCTGGTTAGGACAGATTTATCCAGATGATATTTTATTGCTTGATGCATTATTGTGTCTCATTTGATGAGGACGCAGCATCAGATCTGAAAGTGCTGATCTGAAGATGATCTACTTACTGTGATTGTTTTGTGTGTGATTGTGTAGAGAAGATGATTGATTGAAACACTTCCCACATGCAGTGCAGTGATACGGTTTCTCTCCAGTGTGGATCCTCTCGTGTGTTTTCAGATTTGCTGAATGACTGAATCTCTTGTCACAGTGTGAACACTTATAAGGTTTCTCTCCAGTGTGAATCCTCTGGTGCAGTTTTAAACTGTTTGCTGTAGTAAAAGTCTTTTCACACTCAAAGCACATGTCTCTCTGTTCTTTCAAATGTTCTAGACGTGGAAAACTCTTTCCACACAAATAACATGAATGCGGCTTCTCCTTTGTATGAACTTTCAGGTGCTTCTTACGGTATGGAGCCCACAAACATTTGTTTTTTTCCGCATTGATGACATGCATACAGTTTCTCTCCAGTGTGGATGTTCATGTGTCCTTTAAGTTTTGCTGATTGTGTAAAACTCTTTCCACATTGATCGCAAGTGAATGGCTTCTCTCCAGTATGAACTCTCATATGCCCCATATGGTGTCCTTGTTGTGAAAAACTCTTTCCACATTGATCATGTGTATGGTTTCTCTTCAGTGTGGATAATCTTGTGTATTTTCAGATTTATTGACCAATTAAATCTCTTGTCGCAGTGTGAACACGTGTATGGTTTCTCTCCAGGGTGGATCCTTTCATGTTTTTTTCAGGATTCCTGACTGATTGAATTTCTTGTCACATGTGAACACTTGTAAGGTTTCTCTCCAGTATGGATGTTCATGTGCTCCTTAAGGTGTGCTGCTTGTGTAAATCTCTTCCCACACTGATCACAAGTGTACGGTTTCTCTCCAGAATGAACTCTCATGTGAACATCAAGACCATATTTTAGGACTGGGCGATAATTCGATAACGATAATTATCACAATATAATTTTCCTCGATAAAACGATATAAAGAGTTCGATAAATGTTCGATACAATGTTTATGCACCAAAAGCATAACGAAACAGTGTGACTCATTTGAATCGTGCCACACGGACCGTTTATCTGCTCGGATCATCGCGCCACACAGACTGTTTATCCACTCGGATCAAAGTTCAAACTGCCACGCGGCGCGAGCTCACTAGAGCAGATGTGTTTACTCGGTCTCGCAAGCGTTAAGCAGCGCTGTGAGATACACTGCTTGAATTCAGCAATGAACACAAATGACTCTGTGATTTAAACTAGTTTAAAGCCAAACAGGAGAAACACTGTGTGCAACGAGACAGTGAGAAGGCTTTTCAACCTACACATCGCCATCATTTACCATGGATTTACTGTATTAAGACTCACTGCAGCATGGTATTGTGGCAGAAATTTAGGATATTCACACTGAATTTTATTACAGGAGTAATGGTAATTATAGTAAGCATTTGTGATTAAGCTATAGCATTTGTGCATTTATACTGAATGTTTTTAGACTACTGTTTTTCATACAAATAGGCTACCTAAAAACCATATAGTTATATTTTTACCATGGTAT